GCGTCTCGACTCATTGACCATTTAGCATTTTGTTCCTAACGAATTCATGGATCAGTCTTGCGAAACGTTGTTTTGTTGTTTTGTCTCAACGTGTGTCATTGTCACGGGCTGCATTATTATTCAGTAGTGGGTCACATAAGCCTTTGCTTCCTGGATGCCTCTGATACAAAACGGGTGCCATTGAGCTTTCGGAGCCCCTCATCTCCTCTTGCGGCTAAATAGAGAGAACAGAGGTTTCCATGGGACACAATCACTTTCGTGTTGCTGTTTTCTCGGAGTGAATGTCAGCGAACATGACGATTCAGGCTTGTAAATACTATTTGTGCAAGTTACTTGCCTATGGAATATTATTTTCTCAACTGAACGAGACAGGTATTAACTATAGCTTAGCCTTTTAGCTTTGAATATAATAGCTATACTTGTCTGTGTATATAGATACGTAGTGGGTCGATCAGTAGCATCTGGCTATGTAATTTAAAGTCAACACGCCTTGAATGTTAATCGAGGGAAACAAAGTGGCAAACGGCATATTAATTGCTTTGAGTTGTCAGGCTATGCAATGCATGATTGGTCAGAAATCAATCTTACTATCTTTACGTCCAACCGTAGTTAATAGAGGGGAATGGTTATGAAACTCGACAAAGTTCTTTGTGGTATGTTTTCGTTCGCTGTTTTGGCCTTGACTGTGCACAAAACGCAAATAGCTGTTTACTTCTGATTGACGAAGTAACCAATATAAACGTTTTGGTTACGTAATTCATGCATAGTGTATGAGCGGAAAACAAAAAGATGAGCACGGTCGTGGACCTTCCAACATAAATCTTGGCATCTCTGCTTGCTCCTTTGATGTTTGCGGCGCTTTATAACAATTTCCCTCTATGAACTATGACCTAATTCAATACATCTCGGAGCGACTTGATTTGGCGGCTAATTCAGACGGCGTTTATTTGAGGAAACTAGAGGTAAACAATTGTCAACGTGGAAGTCCGCTTTGAGAATATACGGATTGTCAGGGAAAGCTATTAGAAAATCTAATCTAGATCTAAAAAGGGGCGGGCGACAAAAGGGGTCTGAGAGAGAAAAGGAGAGGCCAGGCCCGCTCCCTCGTTTTCTTTCCTGGATCCCGCTCATCTCAGATCCCGCGCATCGCCCGCCCGCTTTGTCGATCGTCCCCACTGACCGAGAGCCTGGAACAGGCTAAATTTATGGTCACACTGCAGTCCAAAGTAGTCCAGAAATAAATTTGTATGCGAGATTTTGGTAAATGGCGATCGTTGCGCAGATGTCATAACAGAGTAGAATTTTGATAATCGAAGTACATGTAAAGGAGTGATGTTCCTTTTTTCCTGCGGTGTTTTCTGTAAAAATAGAAAAACGTTTTTTCGTGTTTCTGTAGAGTTAATAAAACACTCATGAAAGGTTGGGCGAACGCGAAAAATGTGCGCCTCGCCCTGCGACTCGTGTTTCAACAACATTTCTCGTTCTCAGTGTTTCTATTTAAAAAATTTGATTTCTATCGCGTGACAGTTGACGAGAGTGCGGCCCGAGTCAGCTATCACGCATAAAAATCTCCAGCGAATAGTCTAATCGTTTTAGTATAAAGAATATACTGCTAGCTACTGCTAAGCCGTTCAAAACTGTATCTTAATCCTTCTAGGTTACTCACTATCTACATATGACAACAGATAGTGTCATAGTGAGTAGCGTAGCCAATCAGAAAACGGCATTCGTGAAAGAATACTAGTAGATTTATATTACACCTCGATAGACAAACACGAAAAAATGTTTTCTTTTTCTTAAATGTAAGAATTTACATTGCATTACATCAACCGAAATCCAGAATAAAATAATTGGTTAGAACATTGATGCAAAATGGTTTTATAGTGAAAACATTGTTTCAGTCTGTTTGAAAAAAACACTGGCATGTATGAATTAACAGAAATAAAGGCGAGTATTAAATGATCGTAATCTAAAAGTGTGAGTGGAAAAAAAAAATG